GGGCTGATTTTACATCCACTGTCAGGTAGAATTGACTGATGCATTACCCAGTTGATGAAGAAGTCGAAGAGAACTGGATAAAGAGGGCACCCTTGTCGAACTCCACAAGTCAGAGGGAAAGAAGTCGCCAACGTCATGAAGGGGTTGTACAACAAGGCACCTGACAAGGACGGTACACCCATCGAAACCTACAAGTTGATGTTCTTACGCCCTGGCTCCATGAGGTGAATGAAAAGCGTGGAAAGACGAGGTCGTTCCTGATGACTGAGGCTGAGGCATCCCTACACCTACCCTCAAGAAGGGAGATAAATCAAGATGCGTGAACTATCCCGACATAAGCCTTATTGACGCTGCCGTGAAGATTTTCGCTATTGTCTGTGCGTTACTCTAGGACGATGCCCAACTAAGCCAGATTTCGTGTTCAGTGTGGCTGTGCCCACCAGATATTCGCACTGAGGCATATACTTGAATTTCGCCATAGCTGTCAACAACCGACGGCCGCCTGCTTTGTTGACTTGGTTACTGCGTTCAATTCCGTCTACTGGGAATCCCTATGGCATATCAACAAAAATAATTGTTATTACCCAGGTCTATTACCGCTCCACCACTGCGCCGGTTCTGGTCCTTAAAACTTTCCTAACTGTTCGGTATTCAGTATGGCGCTCGAAAAGGTTGTACCCTCTCGTACATTCTCTTCAACTACGCTGTTGACTGGGTCCCCTAGAAAGCCCTAAACGAAGATGGTGTTGAGTTTGCACCCAGCCACCGGCTTACTAGTCTCGACTACGCCGATAATACCGCCTTGCTAGTTTCAAACTTCCGGGGTATGCAGTCTATGTTGTCACGGATAAACGAAGTCGCTGGAAAAATCAAAGAGTTTTCAAGTTGCATCCCTGCCCAGGAGAAGACAACTCTCGAGATTGATAACTGTCAACTTGAAATTGAAAGTTTCAAATACATTAGAGCGAGGCTGCTGCCGAACGGACACAGTAAGGACAATGAATCGATGTTCGTCGGTTTTTATTTCGCCTTGGAAGGCGCCTACGGGCTCGACGCGGCCTCTCCATCGTCACGAAGATTCGCATGTACAGTGTATCTGTCCTGCTTACCCTTCTCTTTGGTTGGGAGTGATGGGATGTGTGCGTGAGGGATGAACGAAAACTGAAGATATTTGACTATCACTGCCTGAGAATCATCTTTCAACCGAATTACACCTACTTCTTCTCCAATGAGACAGTCCACACTCACTGCAACAACATCAGCAGAATATCCCAAGCCACTCAAGAGGGATGACTGAGGTGGTTTGGATACTTATTTGCCGTCAAACTCACGAGCTCAGCGTTACTGCCCTTGATCCGGCATCGCTACCCAATTGGAGGAGTCAAAGAGGGGGTCATCCCAAAGTTGACTCAACACGGTTCATCAAGACATGGACGCGGTTCTTGAATCTTTGGTATTCAACATCTGTCGTTGGCAGAGCTAATGGGTTGAACGGTTCAGATCTACTGCCGCGGATCGTCACGCGTAGAATGCTACAATCCTTGGCATTATCGCGACCGGCTAGATCAGGCATGATCGCAGTCGTATCAAGTACAAGTAGGTAGTGCAGTGCAGCAGGGGGGCAGTGTATCGAATTCTGTACCTAAATTGTCATTTTAATCAGATCAGCCTGAATGTAAGGCTGGGTCGTGCATACCCGAACGTAAGTTGCCTGTGCGACGGGGTGGCGGATTATCACAAATGTTTGCCCCTACCCTGGGTCACGAGTTTAACTTCACTGCGAAGATTGGGTTAATTGAATTATTCAAATCTGCCTAATTCCTAATAATTCAGCGTGTCTGGTTGTCATTATGGTGGATTCTAGATGATTGCTTAGGAAATTCTGCCTGGGCAGTCAGCCTACTGTATCCGTATTGGTGAATTCCATACGTGCAGTAGGCTGGACGGGTAAATTGTTCCAAGTATGATTAAATTCACGTCTCGGTGCGCCTTCGTAACTCAATTCGTAGAACGTTGGCTGTACTAAAGCCTTCCCTGCTGATGTGGGTTCCAATCTGATCGAGGCCACACATTTTTCACAATTGGTCCAATTGAATTATTCGAATCCGCTAAACCCCTCCTAATAACGAACACAATAGCCCACGTCACAGGCAAGACAGACCGAGAAGTGATTGAAGTCTGGGCCTCCAATGACAACTTGGTCAGTCAATCTAGCGCCAGCCTGCAGAGCCCTGCGCAGTCACTTTCGGACTGGTATTGATCTTCGATTAGCTCCTACCCTCTATAATTGTTGCTTGCTTTTTTTGCCACTTTGGCGATGAACTTCTGTGCGAGGTCGAAAGTGGTCGAAAGTTCAGATGAATAAAGAAATGGTTCCTTTGATCAAACACCCTCCCTCCATACTCATACATACCACTTGGTAAGG